GCGGGCGCTCCGCGACCAAGTTGCATGCGTTCTTGCCCGTAAGTGCGGGGAGGCCCTCATATTGCATGTTACACGCAGGTCAAACATCCCTCCCAAAAAAAATTACAAAATGCACTGTGCCTCCAAATCTGGAGCATGCGCGGGCACCCCGTGACCACTTTGCATTGATTATTGACGGAGACGGCGTATTACCTGCTGCGCGCGGGCCAACAATCCCTGCCAACTTAGAATACGAAATACACTGTGCTTCCAGTTCTGGTGCATGCGCGGGCGCCCCGCGACCACTCTGCACTAGTTTTGGACACGGATACTCGGGTGTTGCTTATGCGTTGGGAGGGCGGGTGGGAGTGAGAAGACGGCTTGCGCCTTGTGAGCAAGTGTCTGAACCTCTTCTCCTACCCCCTCCCCTGGACCCGGATGGAGGGGTTCGCGACCGATTGGAGCTTCCAAGAAGACCTCGGCGAGACTGCAAAAATCAAGCCAAGCTTGGCCTCTGGGGGAGGGACCCTAATTGAGTACCCCCCATTTCCTTTCTTTGATCGACCTCCTCCAAGATGGCCCAAAAAATGCCCTCCAAGGCTCCCTCCTAATAGTGCCCCAGGAGGGGCCCAGAAGGCGCCCAGGAGGCCCCACGAAACATTCAATATGTCCCCAAAGGGGTTCCCAAGAGACCCCCACGAGGCCCCAAGAGGCGCACCGGAGGCATCCAAGACGCTTCAAGAGGCCCCACGACCGCCAAGAGGCCCCCAAAGCGCCCCAAGACAATTCCGAGAAGCTCTCAAAAGAAATCCTAAAAGACTCCGAGAAACATCGACAAGGCCTCTAGCTGATCTGTTCGCCATTCTCCTCCTCCTCCTCCTCCTCCTCCTCCTCCTCCTCCTCCTCCTTCCTCCTCCTCCTCCTCCTCCTCCTCCTCCTCCTCCTCCTCCTCCTTTCCTGCTCCTCCTCCTCCTCTCCTCCTGATTTCCTCCTCCTCTCCTCCTCCTCCTCCTCCTCCTCCTCCTCCTCCTCCTCCTCCCTCCTCCTCCTCCCCTTCCCCCTCCTACTCCTATCCTTATTCCTTATTATACTCCTACTCCCCCCTCAGGCCGGCAGATAGGGGCCGCATCCGGGTGGTCCCATCCTAACCTGTCAAAAACAATACAAAATCCGCCGACCCCTTGTGGGTCCCTAGGCGTGTGAGATAGTTCCCCCCCCTACAGTCCCCCCCCAGGGACCCCAAACTGGCGATTTGACCCCCCCCCCATGGCCCCGCCCGAGCGACTCACGGAGCTTCTTTGGGCTCAAAAGTCTCTCAAGGCGGCCCAAGAAGGCCCCAAGACTCCTCCAAGACGGCCCACGAGGGCCCCGAGACGCCAAACGAACGCTCCAAGGCGCCCAAGATGGCCCCAAGACGGGCCAAGAGGCCTCCAAGACGGCCCATGAGGCCTCCAAGAGCAGTTCTCAGAAGGGCCGAAGAGCCGAAAATCTTCAAATTCCTATGGAAAACGTACATTTTGATCATATACGGCTTCTCGGCCTTCACGGCGTTGAACACGGTCCAAGAGCACCCCAAGACCGCCCCAAGACGGCCCAAGAGGCCCCCAACACGCGCCCAAGTCCGCCCAAGAGGGCGCCAAGACAGCCCAAGAGGCCCCCAGGACGGCCCAAGAGAGCCCCAAGACGGCCCCAAGAGGGGCCCAAGAGAGGGAGCCCGAACTGACATCCCGAGCCTTCCGCCCCGAGACGGCCCTAAAAGGCCCCGAGAGGCCCCAAGAGGCCCCCAAGACGCCCCCAAGAGGCCCCAAGAGGCCCCCCAAGAGGCCCCAGAACGGCCCCAAAACGGCCCCCAAGAGGCTTCGAAACTGCCTCCAAGAGTCCCGCGAGAAGCACCACCAGAGATCCCAGCGATCATCGCACAAGCGGGATTCGCGCTCCCGAGGCGAAGAATTCCAAAACCATGACCCAGAACATTTCCTCCGCGTCCCCCTCCTCCTCCCCCTCACCCGCCTTGTCCACGTCGGCCCCCCAGTGGCGTCAAAACTGCTTTCCAGAGGCCCCCGAAAGGAGTGCCGCGAAATTCCGATACACATACAAGAACCTCTCACCCAAAGACCATAACCCAGAGCCTCCTCTCAGTGTCCCCCTCATCCTCCTCCTCAACCACCCTCTCCTCGTCCCCCTCCTCCTCGTCCCCCTCCTCTTGTTCATGGCCCGTCACCTCGACACGTTCGATGATTCTCCCCTGTGTCCTCCGCCTCACCCCCCATTCTCCTGTCCTCGTTCTCCTTTTTCCTCAGCGCGCGCGCCCGATTCGGCATCATTTGCAGGTCTTGCACTTCAGAGTGCCTTTTTTTGCGTCGCGCGGGACATTGTGAGGGTCGGGGAACGCCGACTTCGGTAGTCTTCTCTTGCACGCGCCGCTGCACTGATACGCCTGGCAACTGCGGGCTGTGAACCCGAGTGCCGCGCAGCTTCCGCACACCACCTTTTTTTGATTCGACCATCGATGATGTTCTTTTTGGCTCTGCCTCAAATGTTTCGTGTCTGAGAACGCTCCTCCGCACGCCGCGCACGTCAGCGGCTTCGCTTCCGCCTCGGCTCTCCGTTTCCTATTATTGGACTCAAGCGTCGTCCTCTGACGTTCTTCCGCGCATTTCCGACAAGACGGCACCAAGAGGGGCCCAAGAGGGCAACCAAAAATTCAAAAATCTAGCTTCCCGCCCCCACGAGCCCCAGGGGGCCCCAAGAGTGCCCCAAGAGGCCGCCAGAGGCCCCCAAGAGGCCGCCAAGACGCCCCAAGGAGCCCCCAAGAGGCCCCCAGGAGGCCTCCAAAAGACCACCAGACGCTTCCGCATTGCGAGCCGTCAAGCCAACTGCAATGCACTCCGCGCATGCAGCCTTGCTCTTCCTCGCGACGTGCTCACAATCTTGCTCGGCGCTGTGCTACGCGACGTGCTGCTGCTACGCGAACTGTTTCGTGCGCGCTGCGAACGTCAACAGCCTCTTCACCCGTTTCGACTCATCTGCCACATCTTTCGCGGTGATGCTTCGCTGATCACAGCTTCCGCACGCTACTCTTGCTCCTTTCGTCTTCCGGTGCTCCTCCACTTGGTTGAGGGGCGAGAGGCCGACCTCCCAGAAGGACACCCCGCACCCGGGTGCACAGCACGCAAAGCGCTCGCAAAACACGCCCCAGACCACCGGCATCACGCAAACATGTGGACCCCCTACGTATCTGCCACCACCCGCGCGCGACACCGCACCCTCACACAAGACGCCGCTGGCCAGAAACTCCTGGCCTCGCAACAGTCACAGAAGGGGTCGGCGGATGTGGCGTAAGCCTGTAGAATCAACATGTTTCTTATTTTTTCCTCTCGACATGGACGTCCTGTCGTCCACGGCGATAACCCATTGCAAAAAATACCACAAAGAGCACACGCGCGCGTTCATGTCATAATCCTACCGAACACCGTGTGTTTGCAAGCATTTCATCATAAAAACATCAACAACCCAATGCTTTTTCTCAAAAATTGTACAAATTTCCCGCCCGGGCTCTCTTGCTGAAACCATAGGAAAACCATAGGAATCTTAAGAATTCGGTCAAATCCAGCGATTTCACGTCATCGCGCGGTGCACTCGCGATGCTCTGTCATGCACCCAGGCCGCGAATCCTGTGCAAAAAATACCACAAAGAGCACACTCGCGCGTTCATGTCAGAATCCTACCGAACACCGTGTGTTTGCAAGCATTTCAACATAAAAACATCAAAAACCCAATGCTTTTTCACAAAAATGCTTTGGGGTGTCCTGTCAGACCGTCGGGCTTCCTCCGGCCACCTCTGGCTTCCTGCGGTGTACCGGGCCATTCTCGACTCGTCTGGCAATGCGTGCGCGGCATTCAACACGCGCTCGCCAGTTCCCGTCGGCAACCGCCATCGCGGCCGCATCAGCTGTACCAAACCGGCTGGCCGGTGTGACTTCGGCCCCCAGTTGTGCCAGCTTTGCTTCTTATGTTGTGGGAGGGCGGGTGGGACTGGGCATGCCATGCTTGACTCGCTCGAGCTGGCTAGCTTGACTCCTACTCCTACTCCTACTCCGATTGCTCCTCCTCCTCCTCCGATTCCTCCTCCATCCTCCCCTTCTTGGGGTATGACGGCTTCCCCCATCCCTTATTCCACTGCATGCTCCCCCACATCCCTGATCAGGGCAACTCGCCTGGTCATCGTTTCTGGATGGGCTGGCGGGGTTGCGCGACGCGTCTGGAACTTGAATTGGGGATCCATGGATCTGGCCTGTGGGCGCCAGACCCACGGATCGGAAGGTACCCCTCAGTTGGCTGGCAAGCATGGATCCCCTCATCTGTCCCTCGCCCCCGCCACCTCGCCCAGGCCACTTCCCCCGCCCCTCCTCCCCGCCCGCCCCTCCTCCCCCTCCCCTGAGACCCTGGGAGCCAGGGCCGCGCCCTGCTTCTTCCTTTCCTCCTGTTCCCTCTCCCCCCCTTTCTCTTGAGGCACGACCTGTATAAGCCGAACAGGCATCCGAAGCGCAGCGGACGAAGTCCGAAGGACCGTTGCTGGCCACCTGCTTTCTCTTTGTCTCGTAGCACCCCGCGAGGCGACTGCCAAGAGAAGGCCCACCCCTGTCCTGAAACCTCGGGAGGCCTCCGACCACCTCCAGAGAGCCATCGCCCGAAGAATGCCTGGGAGCCCGTGGTATCAGCTACGGCAGGCTTGTGTCGTGACGACTTTGGTTTTAGTTTCGGACACCGCGTGGATCGTGCAACCTCGAGCGATCGGGGCACTCGGGGAACTCAGATCGCTCAATATTTGGACGAATGAAAGCTGGCAGCGTTCAACGTCGAGCGTCCGCGGTGCGGCCGTCGCCGAATCGGCAAGACACGAGCCTAGAGTGCCTGGGAACCTGCCCCGCCTGAGGGAGGATCCCCCCCGACCTCCTCCTTCTCCTCCTCCTCCCCCTCCTCCTCCTCCTCCTCCTCCTCCTCCTAACCCCCTCAACGGCCTCTCGGGCACCTCCAGGCTCGGCCCAGAGAACTCGGAATCGATCCACGCGAGGATTTCGGACGTCTCCACGTGCGCCACACCCTCGGCCGGGAGCAAGAGGGAGCGCTGGAGAGGAAGGAGGACTGGAGATGACGGCGGAAAAAATGCCCAGCGGCCTCCGAATGTGCAACAGACATTGAAACGTGATGCAAGGAACAGGTATGAAGGTGGAGAGCGAAGAACGGAAAATTACAAAAATAATACTCCGACGGTAGAACCCCGCACGAGAATCTACTTAGCTCGCCCCTCGTTTCGTCCTCTTCGCCCTGGCAGGGGCCCTCCTCCCGCCCTTTTGTTGCGCCTCCTCCTCCTCCTCATCCTCCTCCTCCTCTTCACCCTCCGTCTCCTCATCCTTCTCGTCATACTCCCTTTATCCCCCTCGTCCTCCTCCCCCTCCTCCTCTTTCTACTCATGTTTCTCATCCGCCTTGTCCTCCTCCTCCTCCTCGTTTTCTTATTCTTCTTATTATGACTGTGCATTTTATTAATGTCAGTATTATTGTTAGTATCGATCTTGTTGTTCTCTGCACGATTAGTATTGCTATTAATGTTGTTAACAATAACAGTGTGATTATTACTAGCATTAGTAACATTACCATTATTATCGTTAGTACTTGTATTAATACTACGATCAATATTATGATTATTCTTAACAGTATCATCCGCATTCTTAGTATTACTAGTGTTACTCTTAGTTGTAGTCTTCTGATAGTTACTATTCTCCGTATTAGTATTAGTATTACTAGTACTCGCCTTAAAAGCATGTTTAGTCTTATTGTTATTCGTAATAGTATGAGTCGTCGTATTATTTGTATGATTCGTACTCGTATTAGTATGTTTTACTTCCTATGGTTGAAAATAAATCGTCGTGTTCGTTGTATTAGCATTCGTCTTGTCATGCTTCTTCTGAACATTACAAGTATATGTCATATTACTATCATTCGCATTCCTCATATTATTCCTCGGTTCCAGTTCGGTTTCGGACCCCTGCGATTTACAGATTTTATGCAGAAGGCACCGCTCTCACCTCCTCCCTCTTCCTCCTCCTAAGCCTCTCTCTCACCTCCTCCCTCCTCCTCCTCATTCCTCCTTCACTCTCTCTCTCTCTCTCTCTCTCTCTCTTCTGTGTGTTTTCGTTCGTCGCGCATTCCTCTTCCTCCTCATCCTTATACGTCTTCCTCCTCATCCTCTTCCCGATTATCCTCCTCTTCCTCCTCCTCCTCGTCCTCATCCGCCTCCTCCCCCTCTCCCCCTTTTCTGAAGGAGTGTCATAACTTTGGGAAAACCATTGGAAAAAAAAAAACAAAAAACCAAAGAACCTGAACTGCTGGAGCCGAAAACTTTAGGAAACCCATTGGAAAACAAAACAAAAAAAAAAAAAAAAAACAGGGAACGCCCGTCCGAAGGGACACGTCCAAAGGGAATCCCAGCACTCTCTGTGGAATCTTCGTGTTTTTGTTTTGTTGTCTTTTGGTTTTTCCAATGGGTTTCCTAAAGTTTTCGGCTCCAACAGTTCAGTTTCTTTGGTTTTCTTAGTTTGTCCAATGGTTATCCCAAAGTTTTTGAATTGTGTGCGTTTTGGGCCTCTCAGGCGGGAGCATCGTTTAGAGTGTTCTATCGGGAACCTCTCTGGCGGGAGCCTCCTTTTGTTTGCGTTTTGGTGGACTTCTCAGGCGGGAGCCTGAGGGAGCCATGAGGGAGCCATGGGGGGAGCCACGAGGGAGCCATGGGGGAGGAGGAGAAGGAGGAGGAGGAGGAGGAGAATATACAATATCAGGAGACAAGGAGACGAGGATGAGGAGAGGAGGGAGATGAGGAGGATGCTCCCCCCACCCCATCCACGGCTCCCCATGGCTCCCCCATGGCTCCCTCGTGGCTCCCCCCATGGCTCCCTCATGGCTCCCTCAGGCTCCCGCCTGAGAAGTCCCCCAAAACGCAAACAAAAGGAGGCTCCCGCCAGAGAGGTTCCCGATAGAACACTCTAAACGATGCTCCCGCCTGAGAGGCCCCAAAAGCACACAATTCAAAAACTTTGGGAAAACCATTGGAAAAACAAAAAAACAAAGAAACTGAACTGCTGGAGCCGAAAACTTTAGGAAACCCATTGGAAAAACCAAAAAAAAACAAAACAAAACAAAGATTCCACAGAGAGTGCTGGGATTCCCTTTGGACGTGTCCCTTCGGACGGGTGTTCCCTGGAATCTTTGGTTTTTTTGTTTTTTTGGTTTTTCCAATGGGTTTCCTAAAGTTTTCGCCTCCAGCACTTCAGTTTCTTTGGTTTTTTTGGTTTTTCCAATGGTTTTCCCAAAGTTATGGCACTCCTTCAGAAAAGGGGGAGAGGGGGAGGAGGCGGATGAGGACGAGGAGGAGGAGGAAGAGGAGGATGATCGGGAAGAGGATGAGGAGGAAGACGGAGAAGGATGAGGAGGAAGAGGAATGCGCGACGAACGAAAACACACAGAAGAGAGAGCGAGAGAGAGAGAGAGAGTGAAGGAGGAATGAGGAGGAGGAGGGAGGAGGTGAGAGAGAGGCTTAGGAGGAGGAAGAGGGAGGAGGTGAGAGCGAGGCTTTCTGCATAAAATCTGTAAATCGCAGGGGTCCGAAACCGAACTGGAACCTATTCCTCTTATTCTTCCTCCTGCTCATCGTCCTCCTCCTCCTCCTCCTCCTCCTCCTCCTCCTCCTCCTACTACTACTACTACTACTACTACTACTACTACTACTACTACTACTAGTACTACTACCACTACTACTCCTGCTAATGCTGCTACTGCTACTGCTACTGATACTGCTACTGTTACTGCTCATCCTCCTCCTCCTCCTCCTCCTCCTCCTCCTCCTCCTCCTCCCCCTCCCCCTCTACCTCCTACTGGCGCGCATGGAGAACATCAGCACGCATGGCGACTGCAGGAAACAAAACAAGATTTGACAGGGAAAAGGTTGAACAGGAGGGGAATGTCCTGTATGTGGATGTCGGCGAGGTGCCGTCACGCGTCGTTGGTATGATAGCGCTCGAATATCGACCACGAGAAAAACCTTCGAGCTAAAAGAACCCACCGTGGCTAAGAAAACAAACCGAAGAGCACACGCAGGGAAGGACAAGCAGGATTTCCCAGCTCCACCCCCACCCAGACCAACACAAAAAAGAAACGATAAAGGACGGCACCCCCCGGCACCAGGACCAGAGCTCGCTGTGTGGGATCCTTCTGCAAGAGACCTCCTGGAAGAGGCCATTCTGAGGGAACTCCAGACATCGCGCCGCATCACCGACGCATCGACGATGCACCTCTGCGACGTCTGTGCGGAAGCAGCAGAGCCGAGAGCGCGCAGCACCGCCGATGCACTAGAAACGCGGTGACCGTCGGCACGGGCCGCAAACGGCGGCCCCTCCGCCACGCCCGATGCGGCCGCGGAGCGAAGCGCTCGGAACGTGAAGTTCTTGACGCAGGTGCGGCGGCCCAGGCTCCAGGTTGGGGTCGTACCAGATAGCGGCGACCCGAAGGCTGCCCACTACGAACCTGCCAGGGTGCAGGAGGACGGGATCCGAGAAGTTCTAGAGGATACTGAGCGCCCCACGGGCGCAAAATGCACAGAGCGAGGCCGAGGTTGTCTGCGGGCGTGGGCCGGTGAATGAACTGTGACGACGAGGTCCTGGTGACGAGATGCCGGGCTGCCATCCGGCGAAGCCGAGCTCAAGCGAGGGCTGCCATGAAGGTGTCCTGGTGGCGAAAACGAGCCCCTGGCACCGGGTCTCTCTGGGACAGGACCACTCTGGTTGACGGCCCTGGGTCCCAGGAACGGCAACCCGAGGCCAAAAAACCCAGACCCCCGAAGTCATGATCTTCTCATAATTAACGTCGACCCTCAGATATCTTGACCCATTCCCCTGGACCGGTTTTTCATCCTGAGCCGTTTTTTGACGGCCCTGAGGCCCAGTAAGGGCCTCCCTCGGCCGAAAATACCGAAAAGCCTCCCGTCATGATTTTGTCATTGCCCGAGGGGATCTGGGAACAACGACGGAAAAACTCGGGGCTTCTTTCCCTCAGGACCCCGAGCCTTTGCGCAGGGGCTGGCGTCCGGCCCCAGGTCCTGGAAGGAGGGTGGCAAGCGTCGGGCGCGGGCACTCCGTCTCCCAGAGCATAACCCCCCAGACGCTGGCCCCAGCCGTGCTACGCCGACGCCTGCGCTGCCACGTGGAAAGCAAGGGCGGGCCTGTCTTGGAAGGAGAAAAAACAGCATAAGCATAAGCCTTTGGCGCTCCGCGCGGACGTCTTGGATCTGCGCGGGACCCCCAGAGCGCGCCAGGGGCGGCGCCCGAGGCGCCGCCGCGAAAGCCCAGCGCGGATCCAAGACATCCGCACGGACCGCCAAAACTTGATGGTGATGCTTTTATTTGTTTTCTTCCTCGATTTCCTGGGTTGGGTTGCCCCCCCTGCATTCGATTTCCTGGGCTCCGACAAAACGGCATGAGACTAAACCTTTGGCGCTCCGTGCGGACTTCTTGGACCTGCGCTGGATCCCCCAAAAGTTTATGCTTCTTTGGGTTTTTCCTCGATTTCCTGGGTTGCCCCCCCCCCGCGGCAACGCGACATGCGGACTGCGGCGCCCTGGACGGGGATGTTCTCTCCTCGAGCCCTCGAAGCGTGCACGCCGCACGCCGGACCCTCGCGCCCCGCTCTCGTCGGCGCCCGCGCTGCCGCGTGCGTGCAGCTGCACGCGGGATGCTGACGTGCTTTGATCCCGCCGGGCTGGCACGCGCCGGATCCAACGGATGCGCATCTGCTTCGCCCCTCTGCACTGCCACGCGTTGAGCAGAGTGGACTCGCAGCTGCTGCGCCCCAAGCTAAAAGAGAATGTTTTCCGCCCCCCCCTCCCCCGGCGTTGCCACGTGACGGGTAGAGCAGATGTGCACTTCTTTCGCCCCTCTGGGTTGCCACGTGGCATGCGGAGTGGAATCGTTGTCTCTGCCACTGCATTGCCACGCGACGAGCAGAGTAGAACAGCATGTGTTTAGCCTACTTGCGCGGCCACGCGCCGAGGAAGTGGGGTAATGCGTTTCCGCCCTCCTGGGTGGCTACGTGCCGAACAGATTAGAATTGTACGTCCTACCCCACCCCCGGACCCCCTGCGTTGCCATGTGAGAGATGTCGCGTGCTCAAGTGGAATCACATGTTTTCGCTTCCCTGCATTGCCACGTGACGAATAGGAGTAGCAGCGTATGTCCTCAGCCCATCTGCGTTGCCAAGTGACGTATAGCGTAGATGTGTATTTGTTTCGCCCCTCGGCGCTGCCACGTGGCGACTAGAGTGGAATGCTGTTTCACATGACGAGTCAAATAGAACACTGCTTTCTCAGCCCCCCCTTGCGTTGCCGCGAGGCAAGCGAAGTGGAATCGTATGTTGTCCGCCCCCCTTGCATTGCCACGTGACGTACCAAGTGGAACAACATGCTCTAAGCCCATTTGCGTTGCCTAGTGATGTATAGCGCAGATGTGTTGTTACAATCTACGCTGCCACGTAGCAAATAGAATGGAATGGTTGTTTCGCCCTCCTGCGTTGCAGCGCGGCGGGCACAGTGGAGTAGAATGTGGTCTGCCCGCCAGCTTCGAAATGTGACGGACATGATGAAATAATGTATAGTCCGCTCCTGCGTTGCCCCGTGACGTGCAGCGTAGCTGTGTATGTGTTTCGCTCTCTTGCGCTACCACGTGGCGAATATAGTAGAGTAGTACGAGTGCAAGGTCAGGATGGCAACTTGTACTTGGGGTTAGGGTTACGAGGTAGGGTGTCGGGGCTGAGCATCGGAAGGTTGCCTTAGGTTGAACGCCTCTTAGGGTTAGGGTTGTAAGGTCAGCGTGTGAGGGTTTAGGGTGGTAGGGTCTCTACTTAGGGTGTGTGCTCAGAGGTAGGGCTCGGTTGTTAGTGATGGGGGTGAAATTGAAGTGCAGGATTACGGTTCAGGCGGTTGGGTTAGGTGGAATGCTCGACCAACCGACCGATCGTCGGGGGATGATTTGCCAAAGCTTTCGGGGCGCGTTGCGGGTGCATAGCGCATTGCGGGTGCTTTCCGGGTGGCGCCGTGCTTGCAACCAACAGGCCGACCAACCAACTAACCGATCCGCCGGCCAATCAACCAATCAACCGACCAGCCAAACAACCAACCAACCCACCAACCAACCAACAGGCCAACCAAACAGCCAACCAACAAGTCACCAACTGATCAACCAGCAAGCAAGCAAGCAAGCAAGCAACCAACCAACCCGCCAACCAACCAACCCAACCAGCCTGCCAGCATTATCTGACGATGTCTCACACAGCGGGTACAGGAGCGACGTTTCGAAACCAGAAATAACTGAAACCCTAAAGTTCAAACCCTTCGCCCAGGAGAGAGGGAGAGAGAGGGAGAAAGAGGGAGAGGGAGAGAGGAATAGAAATGAAGAGGAAGGGGAAGAGGAAGATAAAGAGGAGGCGTAAGAGAAGAGAGAAGAGAAAGCGGAAGAGACCAAAAGAGAAGATAAGTTGAGGATGTGCACGACATGTGAAGAGAAGATAAGGACAAAGGGACAAAAACAATGTATGATATGAGATGATATGAGAAGAGAGGAGACGAGACAATAATAGAAATGAAAAGAAACGAGATGATACTAGGCGAGACGAAACTATAATATCATAGAAATAACGGTAAGGAAAAAAAGAACGGGAAGGGAAGAGAAGAGAATATTGGGGAATCACATCAACTACCAGGTACAAAGAAAGAATCAGATATACAAAATGACAGAGAGGTAGAGAGACTTTGAGTAAAACACACACACCAACAACAACAACAACAACAACAACAACAACAACAACAACAACAACAACAACAACAAACAACTCAACAACAGTATCAACAACACCAACATCAAAAACAACAAACATCACAACAGCAGCAGCAACAACAACAACAACAAAAAGCAGAAGGAAACAAAAGCATGAACGAGAAACAGACGGAAATGGCAAGGAAGATGAGAAGAAGGGGACGGAGACAGAGAAGAGGGAGGCAGCAGCAGGAGCAGGAGGGAGGAACGGCGCCGGGAGGAGCCGCAAGGGCGGGCGAGAGGAGCAGGAACGGAAGCTGGCAGGGCGCGTCTCCTGATGGCAGACGCACGGCATCTTGCCGCCCACCTCCTCCACCAGCCACTGCGGCTTGCTGTCGGCCGTGCACGGGACGACGTCGTAGTCGACCCCCTTCAGTTTCAGGGCCATCTGCACCGAGTGCGAGAAGGGGCAGTCGCCTAGGGAGCTCCCGTCAGGGCCGGCCTTGGTGTACAGGGTCGTCCTGTCGGAAGGGGGCGAGTTGAGACGACGGCAGCTCAGAGTCGGCCCCCATGATGGGCCCATTTTCCACCACCACCATAGGCAGGAGAGGGAGGAGGAGGAGGAGGAGGAGGACCTCCTCATCCTCCCCTCTCCCCCGTCCTACACACATCACCCCAGACCCCCAGGGTCCGAACGCACCAATTTACCGAGCTGCGTCTGCCGTGGTGGCGAGGCGGCCCCCCGAAGTGTCAACTGCCAAGATCCTGTCGGGCTTGCCCCCCACGGCGGCCAGCGCCGCCCGCCGGGGCCCGCCGTCGCCTGCCCGCCCGCGGGGTCCACGCAGCGCGCCGCCGCTTCGGACCCAGGCCGAGCCGAGGCCTGCCACGACCGCGGCGCCGCGGAGGCTCTCGGCGCGCCCGGCCGCGCCGGGGCCGCCCGCGGAGGACCCGCGCCGCGGCGCGCCCACCCGCGGCGCCCAGCGGCGCCCCGCCGCGGAGGCCGCCGCGCTCCGCGGCGGCGGCGGCCGCCGGCGGCCGGCGCGCGAAGCGCGGGCCACGCGGCGGTGGCGGCCGCCGCCATGGGCCCGCGCGGAGCGCGGAGCGGCACGCGGAGCGGCGCGCGGAGCAGCGCGCGCCGCGGCGCGGCGCGGTCGGGGCCGAGTGGTATACGCTCGGGCGCGCGCTGCTCCGCGGGGGTGGAGGAGGAGAGGAGAGGAGGGGGAGGCAGGGAGGAGGAAGGGGAGGGAGGAAGGGCGGGCGGGCGGGAGGGAGGGCAGGAGGAAAGGAGGGGGAGTGGGAGGGAGGGAGGGAGGGAGGGAGGGAGGGAGGGAGGGAGGGAGGAGGAGGAGGAGGAGGAGGAGGACCAGTGCAAACCCAAGACTCATCAACGATGTTGAAATACACCCTCCCTCCGAAATCCTTACTCATAGACCCCTACAAGGGGTCATTTCTAATGAAAAAAGTGCCCCGTTGGGGGACAACCGTTTGAACTCCTCGAATCGTGCCACAACACCATTCTCAGGACTTCAACACAAGTCGTCAACGTGACTGTTACGTCTGGGCGATCCTGGATCGCGCCAGAACGCCATTCCTGGGACTTCAACACCGCGAATCAACGTAACTCTTGCGCCCTGACAATCCTAAACGTTCCAAAACACCAAGTCTGGTACGTTAAGAATGAGAACCAATGGAATGATTGCAAATGTTTGACACGAATGCGCGCGGCGCTAAGGCGAGAGCCACATTTGGAAAGCCATCCGCCCTACATCCGCGAAAGTCATGCAATTTTGCTGTTTGATGTGCACGGCGCTGAGGCGAGAGCCCCATATTGAAAACCACCCGCCCTCAATCCGCACAAACTCTTTCACATTTGTAAATCGAATTTGCTCGGCGCTACATTGAAAGCCGCGAATTGAAAACCGACCGCCCAAAATCCGTCAAACTCTTGCAATTAAAAAACGAATGTGCGCGGCGCTGAGGCGAGAACCACATTTTGAAAAACACCCGCCCTCAATCCGTGAAACTCTTGCAAGTTGTTTAAGCGAATGTGAGCGGCACTAAGCGAGAGCCACACTTTGAAAACCACCCACCCCCAATCCGCGAAACTCTTGCAATTGTGTTTAACGAATGTGTGCGGCGCTAAGGCGAGAGATACACTTTGAAAACTACCCGCCCTCCATATGTGAAACTGCTGTCGTTTGTTTAGCACAAGGATCAGAATTGGTGAGGAAGTCTCAGGCGAGACGCCCGGCCCTCCCTTTCGACTGGCCTCGGGGTGCGACAGGGAGGAGTTATCTATAAGCAAAAAGAAATGGAGGAGCAGGGGGAGGAGTGAGGAGGGAGGAGGGAGGAGGCAGGAGGGAGGGCGGAGGGCGAAGGGCGGAGGAAGGAGGAAGGAAGATGGAGGAAGAAAGGAGGGGGGAGGAGATGGGAGGAGGAGATGGGAGGAGGAGGAGGAGGAGGAGGAGGAGGAGAAGAAGGATGATCACGAGGAGGAGGAGCAGGAGGAGGAGGACGAGGAGAAGGAGGAGGAGGAGGAGGAGGGGGGAGGAATGGGGGAGGAGGCGGGACGAGGAGGAGCAGGAATGGAATGGAATGGAATGGAATGGAACGGAATGAAATGGAATGGGATGGGATGGAATGAACTGGAATGGAAAACAATGCAATGGAATGGGATGGCATGAAATGGAATGGAACGGAATGGAACGGAACGGAACGGAACGAAACGGAATGGAATGGAATGGAATGGAATGGAATGGAATGGAATGGAATGGAATGGAATGGAATGGAATTAGATGGAATGGAATATAATACAATGCAACGGAATGGAATGGAATGGAATGAAATGGGATGGAATGGAATGGGACGGAATGGAATATAATACAATGCAACGGAATGGAATGGAATGGAATGGGATGGAACGGAACGGAACGGAATGGAACGGAATGGAACAGAATGGAACGGAACGGAACGGAACGGAACAAAACGGAACGGAACGGAACGGAACGGAATGGAACGGAACGGAACGGAATCGAACGGAACGGAACGGAACGGAACGGAACGGAATGGAACGGAATGGAAGGAATGGAATGGACCGCTCAGGCGGACAAGGCTGGACCCTAACAGCAACGAAGGCTAGACCCCGGTCCGCTCAGGCGGACAAGGCTGGACCCTGCGGCGGACAAGGGCAGACCCCGCACCGCCCCAGCGGCGCGGGGCCTCCCACCAGCCGGCACGCCAGGGAGCCCGACCCCGGAGAGGCGTCGGCCGCCCCGGCGGTCCGACGGCGGCGCACGCCGTCCACGGAAGACCAGGAGCGCAAAGCTTCACGGCCGCTGCGGCTCACCTCTCGGCACCGTGCAGGAGCGGCCACGGCCATGGAGCACCTGCCAGAGCTCCTGCGGCAGCGTGCCCCTGGGCGTCGCGGCTCGCTCCCGCCCCGCTCCGGGGCCAAATTCGCGCCGCGGCGGCGGCGACGGAAGAGGAGGAGTCGGAGGGGCAGACACCCGAAGTCGGTCTTCGCGCTCCAGGGGTACGAGAGCGAGACGGTGACAGCCTGGATTGGTCGAGCTCGGGAGACGCCCCAAAAGTGCGACATCGAGGCCAAGGTATAGTTCCCGACAGAAGCTCAGGCATGAATCCTTCTACACCGCTGCGGCTTCGCACAAGAAGAGAGCCATCGTCAAGGCCAAGGCTTCCAGGTACGCTGCCCATGGCATGGAGACGGCGATCCGAGCAGTGCTCCCCACGTTCCGAGCCCCGCAGTCACGACAGCGCGCTGAGGCCAGCGCGCTGCTGGCCAACACGCAGCCTGAGGAAGAGGAGGCCTGGCAAAATGCGTCAGAGGGCACGCTGCAGAGCCAACATCACGACGCTTTCGCTGACATCGAGGCTCTCCTGGCGGGGCGTGGTGATGATGAACAGGGAGCTGCAGGCTCGGCCGAGGCGTTGGAGGAAGAGGAAGAAGAAGAAGAAGAAGAAGAAGAAGAAGAAGAAGAAGAAGAAGAAGAAGAAGAAGAAGAAGAAGCGACCGAGGTGCCCAGGGCGGCCTGGGAGGACAAGCGCAGGGAGATCACCGAGGCACGCAGGGCTCGGAACTGCACAAGAGGCGACAGCTCCAGGCACGTAGGGGAGGGGCCTCGCCGAGGGGCCGCTGGAGGAGGAGGAGGAGGAGGAGGAGGGGGAGAGGGAGGAGGAGGAGGAGGAGGAGGAGGAGGAGGAGCAGGAGGATGTGGAGGAAGAGGAGGAGGAGGAGGAGGAGAGGGAGGAAGAGGAGGAGGAGGAGGAGGAGGAGGAGGAGGAGGAGGAGGAGCAGGAGGATGTGGAGGAAGCGGAGGAGGAGGAGGCGGAGGAGGCGGAGGAGGCGGAGGAGGAGGAGGAGGATCGCCAGGAGGTGGGACCCGGGCCACCAGAACAGACCGACAAGGACAAGGAGCCCAGGACCTCAATGTTGAGAAGACAGTGCACGAGGGTCCTACGAGAACAAATCCAGGAGGTTCTGGGCGCGCTGCGGGAGAAAATCGAGTGGCGAGCTGCTGAACTCTACCCCGCACCACGCGCAGTCAGGAGGGCCCACCCAGGAAACCAGCCGAGGTTCGGGCAAAAGCTACGATAAGAGTACTGGACACGACTTCACCGACCGACAGATTCAGCATCAGGTGTCCAATGAGCTTCAGCGTTTCCGACCTCGGGTACTGGTTACCTGCCCCCCATGTACGTGGTGCGGAAATTCTCGACCGTGAACGCATGCCACCTTAGCATTACCGAGCACGCACGTAAGATACGAGAAGCACGTGGACACATCAGATACAGCATACAAGAAATGCATGCACAGCTCGATCGAGGCGAAAATGCGAGATTCGAACATCCTGTATGATCTATCGCGTGGGAAATCCCCGAGATGCAGAAACTGATTGAAAATATGCACGACGTATCGACCGACATGTGTGCACACGGTTTGCGGGAATCGGGCGGAAGGGGGTTTCTTCAAAAACGCTCTCGGATCAGAGTGTCCTCCGTGCGTCTTGTGAAGTGTATAGGGAAGCGCTGCCGGGGTACTCACGACCGTGCGACGATCGAAGATGCCTCCAACGGTAGCTCATGGCCACATGCGAACCCTACCCCCTACCCCCCACGACTTCTGAGGGGGAGGGTGGGGTTCAATTCGTTCGGGAGCTCCCGAGCAAAGTGATCCCCACCCTCCCCCTCAGAAATCGTGGGGGGTGAGGGGTAGGGTTCGCATGTGGCCCCCTAAGGGATGTACACTCCACCGTTGTGTGAAGCGATCCCTCGAGGAACCGATGCCATCGACCAATTCTTGGGACCGCACGCGCAGATGCTGCTCCGAGTTGTGTTTTTTGTTTCCCGAGAAGCCTGCGCTCTCGCCTCTCCTCCCTCCTCCTCCTCCTCCTCCTCCTCCTCCTCCTCCTCCTCCTCCTCCTCCTCCTCCTCCTCCTCCTCCTCCTCCTCCTCCTCCTCCTCCCCAGACCCCCGAGTGGCCGAGCGAAGCCTCGGGTGCTGGAGCGGCCGAGTTGGACCAGTGCCGTTCGGCGGCAGGCCTCGACGCCGCCGAAGGTCAGGACGTGTCGCGTACCGACCCAGCGACCCCAGCGATCGCCAGGGCCCAGAACATTCGGGGCGCCCTCCGGGAACTGCATGTCGACTTGGGACATGCGCCCCCACGGGAGATGGCACGGATGCTGAAGCAGGGAGGGGGACACAGCGAGTCGATCCGACTAGCGGGCAGTCTCCAGTTCGACATCTGCGATGAAGACAAAATGCCAAAACCATCTGGAGCCGTCCCGGGACATGGGATTCGGGTTTCAACGCGCAACTAGAGGTCGACGGGATGCTCATTACAAGATGGATAAGCGACAAGCACACCGTACATGCCTTGAACATCGTCGACGATGCGTCATCGCACCAGATCGTGTCTCCACTGCTGCACGGGGAAACTTCGGAGACGATCAGAACAGCTGATCGGGAGAACTGGGAACAATGGGTTGGTT